CAAAATCTCTCGCACAGACAGAAATGTAGGTTGGCCACGATTTAGCGGATGGCTCTGCTTCGAGTCTCCAGATCATTCAGGACGGTGTCTCATGAGGCTGTGCAGGTCTTGGCAGGAGGAATACCTCTCGACCTCCTGCTGAGAGAAGACTACTACCGGTATAAGATTAGGAGAGAATGCTTAGCGGCTCTACCGGATTACCTCCGAGTGAGAATAGGAGATGACCCAAGAAACTGGAAGAAGATCCTCCGGGAGGATACAGTAGAGAACTGGAACCGACGGTGGTTGACGACTCCCAAAGGAGCTACCCTAAGGAAGTACTTCCCCTCCGTCAGTTCGCGACTAGAAGCGACTTGGGTCCTCCCGGACTACTGGATTTCACAGATTCTCACGGGGCATGGGGGTTTCCGAGCAAAGCTCGTTCAGTATGGTATAAATATCGATCCCCTATGCCCAAGTTGTGGGGTACCAGAGACCGCTGAGCATGTAGTACTTACCTGTACGGTCTATGAGTCACTGAGGGCGAAACTGTTGAGAGAAACAGGTCTCTTTGTCGTAACAGAGAGAGATCTTCCTCAACTTATGGCCAAAGACAAATACGAGCACTTCAAACGATTTATATATGGATGGAAAGAAGTTGTACTACCAACTCACTTCTCTTTGGGAAGAAGAAGAGAAGCTGCACCGGGGAGGCCACCGGAATAGACAGAAGAAAAGAAAACCAGATACAAGTGAAGAGAAGAGTCTGTATAATTGTCTGTGTGCATAGCTCAAAAAAATAATGTAATAGCCAAAAAATGCAGCAGTGGGTTGTTATGTAACAGTAACATCCCACTGCTGCAAATACCCGTATTGTCTTCAGGCAGGGGAGGGTTGAAAATAAAATAAAATAAATAAAATATATATATATATATATATATATATATATATTTTTTTTAACGAAATTTACAACTGTAATTAATAATAAATACAACAAGTAAATATGAACAAGTAATATGACATGTACAACATAAAAAGAAACTACCCATTGATAGCACTCCAATTATATTTCTATATTAGAAGGTCCCGAGGCCATCTTCTTTTCAGACGTCTCGGAGGGTTATCAGGAATAGAGGAGGAAGCAAGGTTGTAAACGAGAGGGTTCGGATGGTTCAGAAGTTTATTATGAAAGTACAGGTATCTGGATTGAGCTAAATCGGAAACATATGGTACATTAAGGTCATTATGGATGATTTTATTTGTGACAAGGTAGGGAGCATTAAGGATTTTACGAAGGATTTTGGATTGTAGAGATTGGATACGAGAGGAATTTGATGGTTTAGTAGAGCCCCAAAGCTCGATCCCGTAAGTCCAAATAGGCCTTATTTAATTTTTAATATTTCATTATTAAGAAATACTTCTTCACCGTATAGCAGTGAAGAAAAAAATCAAGTTGGACCTAACTAATCATGTAAAAGTTGTAATGGACCACTAGCGGGTCCAGGATTTATTTTTGGAGGGGGGATTAAGCCCGAAAGTTGTTTTTTTCATAAAAATAACGATAATTACTTTGGAAAAAAAAGAAAGAAACTAACTACCTATATGAAATGGTGTTTAAGTGATCCCTAAAGCCCTTTTAAATGTAATTACACGAACAATAATACTTTAAGAGATACTTTTTTAATATTTTTTTTCGATTAAACATGGTTATATTTTACCATTTTGGGGGAGGGCTTCAGCCCGAAAGCCCTCCCCCCCGTAGATCCGCCCGTGTAATGGACTAAAACTTGCCCCTAAAATGAGAATCATCCATATATGACGAATAAAATTTTATGGAACAGCCCTGGCAAATCATTTATTCGTAATTTGTCGTTTAATTGACATAGAATTTTGAATTTCCTTTAAATCTATTTCATGATGTATAGAATTAATATACATTACAAAAAGTAACAAAATCCCAACATTTCCCTCATATCTAAAAAGCATCATTCGATGAACGTTCTTCCAAACGTTCATAGCATCGGGCACGTTGCTAACCTCATAGCTGTGATTCTTAATTTAGCTCAGTTTAGAGAAGGATCCATGCAATAAATGAGCTCATCGCTGAGTTTATGAACTTGCTATTCGTTTAGCGACGGCTTTTAGTATATAGGAGCAATAATGTACAACTGCTTTCATTTTTTTTTTCGGGAGAAACTAGCACCTCAATCTTAGCACTCATGTGTAAATTTTGTTGTGGAACATCATGTCGAGCGTCGTATGTGAAATAATACTGTTAGCATTTCGACATCGTCGCAATGGTTAACAATTGAGGCTCAGGCTCGCAGAATGAGCAATTTCCTTAACTCAGCACTGAATTAATCGATATCATAGGTTCCCTGTCTAGTGATGATACCAAATGATACCATCGATGAACTCGTTACTGTTCTAGCGATCTGCAATGTCTTTTGTCTGTATCGCTATGAAATATCTTGCTCTATGCAACTGACAGTTTTCATTATCAGTTGCATTGAGCACTTTCTTTAACAGATATACCGAATGAAGTAGAATGTAACACAACAAGACTGTCATATCGTCGCGGTAGGTTGTATTTTGTGTGTCCAAGCCTTTAAGACTCCTACACACGGAGAGATGTCTCGGCGATACGAAATTCCTGTCGGCGGCAATATAGTGATATAGATGTTTGCCTCCATCGATCTTAGAATCCATAGACATTATATTACTAAGAAGTATTAAGGCGATGGTAGGTTTACCGGCGAGCACTTGCTCCGTATATGCACCGCGGCGATATATAAGCTTGGGTCTTTTGAAGTGTCAATGGGAGGCTCCTCTTCAGCACAGGTCCATTTCCCATAAGTTGGCCAATGTAACAGATGCCTTTTTGTTTCAGAGGTTTTTAATTTCGGGCATGAAGTAAGAATGTGTGCTGATCTATTAGGGATCGAAGTGAGCAGTATGGAACCATCACTAACAGTTAGGAAGGTGAGACAGTCTCTGAGAGAAAAATCCTTTGATGAATGGAGCAAGTGCAAGTGGCAGGAAATTGGTGTGTCACATTTTAAATATAATCCGTGGATCAATAAATTTATTTATGATAGAAAAGTTCTCACACGCTCAAAATGGACTAATGCCATGAAATTAAACGTTAATTACGCTCCTCTCCGCGGAATACCAGGAACCGGAAACCAGGCTAACTGAGATGTTGGACCCCTCTGCCACAAATGTGGGCGAGAGTCACAAACCCCAGCTAATGTGTTGAGCAATCGTCCGCATAACATGCTCCTAGTCACCCCCCGGCACAATAATATAAAGCATCGTATAGCCGAATCCCTAGAAATAAAGAACTAATATAATTGTTTCCTCGAAGTTTACTGCGCTGGATACAGAAGGCTCAACAAGGCTCATTAACATCTTAGCGTTCAATGCGATGGTTCAAAGGGCAATGGTTCGGAAGCAGGGTAATCATCCCTCTTAATACAAGTAATTTCTTGCAGAGGCTCAGTGTTGGAAAGGAGCAGAGGCAGACTAGAGCAGAGACATTTATGTTGGACTCGTTGGGAATCCTCCATCATCGCATATACTCTTATTGATCTAGGCCTTCACTTATTTGATTCTATAAACCGGATTTGCCATGGCTGATATGTATTCCAATGGTCCGACCTAACTATCTCTAATGTTTTGATACAGTATTATCTTTTGATTGATGAATTTGCTGTGTTATTTAGCAACTCAACACAAATGAGCAGCCGTGCAATGTTTTATTTCTGTATCTGCTTTGTAGTAGTCACATAGAGCTTGATAATCTGCAGTGGTACTGACAAAGGGTATCGAGTCGCTGGGATATATCGCCTCTGTGTTAGGAGCCTTTAACCACCCATAAAAATGAGAAAGAAATTGTTTTAAAAATCGATGGATATCTTTTACAAACCGTAGAACGAAGATGCAAACTATAATAAAAGAACTTTTATAAATTTTTCTCATATAAAAGTTGAGTTTCTCATATCAATCCATGTCTTGTTTCTCGTCCAACTTATTTTATACCACATCTTTCATGATGTACTGTTGATCTGCTTATCAGTATATTTGCCGTAGTAGTAGTTCTGGAGACTGATAAAACACTAAAATGGCCAACGAACGAACCATTTGTGATGGAATTGAAGTTCAATAAGGAGGCGGGGCAGCAGTTGTGGCATGGATCGGAGCCAGGATGTTTCTCCGGCCGAGGAAGCTGCCGGGCAGGGTATGTTGTTACTTTCCAACATATACCAAACATCAAATATTAAAATGTTTAAAAATAAAAAAAAACAAAACAAGGGTACTAAACAAATATCCTCAAACTATCTGTCACCTTGTCTGTAATGAGCGACCGTTAAAACTCAAGGTTATTCTTCAGTGGTGGCTATTTACACTGAATCTTTATTTGCGTCAATTGCATATTACTTATGCACAACCACAATTTCCTTTCTCAATTTAGTAAATCTGTCAGTTCATATCTATATTAGTGCCTGGTAGTTTAATGTTCAGCTTCAAATAGTTGCTGTGTATTTGAATTGTTTCTGTGCAAATAATTCGTTTTATTAGACAAAATTTGATCATCTTCCTTTAATAAATCTTCATTAATTTTATTTTGCTTTGAACCATAAATTCTTATGACTTTATAGTACAGTAAAAAGTTAAATTATTCCAATACTTTATAAATTGTCCTTTGAGTTGGTACAATTTTATGAAATGTTTTGGTAATAATTGATGTAGAATTTAAATTAATTTTGAATCATACAACTAGGCATATAAACTGTTAAATCTACTCTTTATCACTTATGTTTTTACTCTCCCAAATTTATTACTGACGCCTTTGTTATCTTAGATTGGAATTTATGTTGGTATTTTATAGCAATTGGCTATTATCAGTGATTTATTGACATGCTGTGTACATTTTGATACATTGAGTTTGTTCGTTTACTATTGCACAGCAATGATTTATCTTGTCGCATTCACTATTTCAGTACCTTTTTTTGTTATTGTGACATACATTTTTTTTATTTGATACAGCTCTTTTGTGTCTGCTTTATTATTGTTTATTGATAATTAGTCAGAACTTATCAAGTAGGTTCTGTTGTGATAAGTGTCCATTAAAAGATAACTAATGACTCAGGTTTTGACTCTTATCCTGTAATACATTTACTACAGTGTTTATGGGAATACACGATGATACAAATATTTAAGAGTCTAAATAAAAAAAATAAAAGAAATAAATTGGGAAACTTAAATTTGAACGAGACTCATTCAGTCAAAGGTGAATATATATTTTTTTCATTATTATTGTGTACTATTAACCACTAATGTTAAAAACTATATATATATGTTGAAACTATTAATATTATGCATTTTTTAGAATAAATCTAATTTTATATTTTAATTTTAATCTTAATATATTAACGTTTTAAAATTAATGAGCACTTGCGATTGGTTGAATAGCATTACCAATGATGTTTATTGTAGGAATCGAGTAATGGGATTGTTATATACATTTTGGTTATGGGAATTTCTTAACTTTGTAATATATTACAGTCTGCTGGTCGTGTATAGACAACTAAGTTTAAATTCTTAATATTGGCTGTCTATGGACCACTTAGTGCAAAGAAAAATAAAAAAAGGAGCTTTTTAAGTTTAATATGTAACTCATAACTGCAATTGATAAAATAACATATCATTTATTACTCTTACATTATAAAAGTATCATCTATGAGGAAATTATTCATTAAGATAAATTTGTGTTTTTCTATATGAATATTATTTTGTGCCAACATAGGCTCGAGTGCTACAAGATGGCTATAAACTGTTGTACAATGTTGAGAATCTTCTTTCAAAAGTTAATTAAAAGATTTTATTTTGTGTGAATATAGGTAACTTGTCCTAGTTGGTTACATTTCTCCTTAAGAATTAAAATTGTTCCAATGACATCAAATGTTTCATGTTGCTGTATTGTGTGTGGTCCAAAAGTTTATAGTCTAAGGCGCTAAAGGTTAAGTAAGAAAAGAGCCCTGGAGCCAGGGCCAAAAAGTAATCTCATTGCAGGTGAAGGTTTGAATGTAACTTATGTAAGTGCATATTATTCTAAGTAAAATGAACCTCGTCTGCCTTCCAGAGCCACTGCTTTCAGAAGTGGCGGCATCGAATGCTGGTCAAGAAATAATGATTTTTACCAAAAATGTCCCTGTAGCTTGGAAATGAGTTCTCTAATAGAAATATAATATTAGAATAAAAGTTGTAGAGCATCGAATTCCGTGTCAACTGAGAACCAATAGTTTTAATTTAGATCACTTACTCCACTTGAAATCTGTAATTTCCTGATAGCTGGAAATTGGTAATAAAGGTATGTGTGATTTTCTGTATTTCAACTGTATGGGTGTTTATTCTATTTTAGAGTCTGCTATATGCAATATGCTATTTGTACCTCTCAGCAGCGAAGGATTTTTAGAAACGAGGTGTCGAAAGAAACCAAATTTCATGAAGAAATAACGAATCTCAATTCAAGAAATATAATTGACCTACACTAAAAATTTTAGATCTTTGTGAAAGCAGAATTTCATACTCTACAACTTTAATCATACTCATTCTCTACAATGTTATCAGTTTTTCTCTTAGGGAATTCATTTCCAAGCTGAAGGGGCATTTATATTAATTTGCCTCAGTTTTTTATAATTTGATAAAAATTAGCGTTCGTTGACTATGGTTTTCTACCATACCACTTGTACAAATTATTAAGTTTAGGTACTTGTTTGATGCACAATTAATTTTCTTTAATTTCTTAAAGAGTAAGTTGATGAAGATTCATGATTAAGAAATAAGATTTTGGAGCAGTGATACAATAAAGATGATGCTGTGGATAATTAGCCTTCATTGAAGATTTACATGAAAAACCCATTTTTATCAAAGTTAATTAATAAAATTTCCACATTTGGAAATGTAATAGCTGAAATGTTAAAAATGAGAGTAACTATAGAAATAATAGTAAATTTAAAGTTTAAGTATAAGATTTCAGGCAGGGTGAGTATGTGATGTTGAAGGTAAAAGTTAATATTGAATTCAGCAGAAGGAATTTGAAGTTGACTGGTTGAAAGTATACATAGAAGGGGATTCATTATGGCATATGTGCCAATCCTTAGAGGATTTGGATAGTGCTTTATTTTCCCATAGATATATTATTTATTAAGTTAACATGTTAAATTCTTAAATATACTTTCAGCACGGTTGTCACAATATTAATGGAATCACTTTATGGACGAACATAGTTTTCAATAAGTGATGTTTTCATTTCAGAAGAAGCAATACCTGAAGATACCGATCTATCTGTAAGAGATGTTGTGGACCTCTTGGAAGAGCAAAATGCTATCATCACTGGTATGTATTTTCATTTTGTATAAAATTAAGTAAATACTTATAATATTTATACAATAATTGGATGTTTACAGGTGGTAAAACCAAAGAAGGTTATCCCATCATCACACTACCTGATCTCGCCAATTTTTCCAACCTCCTTGATACAGATTACCAAAAGCTTATGACATACCTCACTTCAGTTCCTTCGTTAGTTAACATTTAATATATAATTTTTATTATGTTAAAAATAATGTGAATGATTGTTTGAAATCAATAATTTATTTTAGAATGCACGAAGCTGACTTAGGATTTGCCCTTGTTATTGATCGAAGAAATGACAAATGGAGTTCAGTGAAAACAACACTAATCAAAATATCAGTAAGTTTTGAAAACTAAAAAATTTATCAAATTATGCATTTATAGTTCCAGAGAAATTAATCTGCTTGCCGTATTTACACTTTTAAATATTTGTCATTGTTTTGTTACCATGAAGTAAGCAAAACAATAAACAGGGTGTCCCAGTTGGAAATGTCTCTAATTGAGGGAGAAGTAGTCTACATAAAGTGTAGTTCAGCACTGCCAACCACATATTCATTGCTTAAATCTTTGTCAAGTTATGAATTTTGAAGGATTTTCTAAGAAAACCACATTTTCCGCCATAAAAATCCAAATTTCTCTAATGTAACTGAGCATTTTTCAACTTTTGTCAACATTTCCAGAATCTTTCTAACTTTTCTGAGTCAAGTATAGGTAGTAATGACCAGTTTGTAGGAAAATAATATCTTGTCTGACTATTATATATCAATATTGGTTTGTTTTTAAGAATTGTGATAACTTTAACATGGCTCCACCTATCCGCATGAAAATCAGCATAGATTTTAAAGCCCTATAAATTGCATGAAGTAGCTTAGACTGGATCCCTGTTAAACAATTAGAACAAATATAACCTTTTGAGGAGTTTGTCTTATAAAGGTAAATTGTTTTTTCATCACAAAAATTAACTTGGCCTACTTTACTGGAGGTTTCTTTTGGTTTATGTTAATTATTATATGAACGAATTTGTTTAATAAAATCAGCAATATGGTATTCTTATTTTACAAAAAAAAAAAAAATAAATAAATAGATTGATATGTTATACCATAGACATCCATGCAGTTACAATTGTATGGAAAAAAAAAAAAACCTTCAGACATGGATCTAATATTTTTTGACCTAGTATCACAAAAAGTTTCCATGAAAACGGATGTTGACTTCCGATGTGGAATCGACATTATAACCTTTCCTTCTTTGATTTCAAACATTTTGACAAAAATTGAAAAATGTTCAGTTACATTAGAGAAATTATGATTTTTATGGGAGAAAAATTTAGTTTTCTGGAAAATCACTTTAAAAATTTTATGTATTGACTAGCATTACCCACCCACTCGCTGCTGTGGCTTAGTCTGACAAAATGAAAAAGAAAGAAAATAGAAAGCGCATATTAGTGGGTTAATACCAAAGGACATCTGTCAGTTTTAAAAAGTTGGGAAACAAATTTGTCTATAAAATGGCTTCAATTTAAACTAATTCTAATGATTTTTTTTTTCATATTTAATTTTATTATTATAATGTTCAATTTTGTGTTGATCAGTTTATGGCAAATAAAAATGTAAATGTTTGGTTGTTTGAACTCATAAATCTCAGAAATTTCTTTACCCATTGCCTTGATATTTTGGCTAAACATTGCATTTAAATACATGCGTGGTTTAATATATCTACTATTATAAAATATAAGGTAAAAATACATATTTATTAAAAACATACTATCAGTTGGATGTAAAAGCAACACATGCTGTTTACAATATTTTACGATACTGTTTCAATGTTAAAGATTTTCAAATATCAATCGTGGCAATGCATTGAAATTGCGCTACACCATTTATCATATCCTTCATTTCACGTGCATTAGAACTACCTTCCACCTTCCTCAAAAGATTTCATATACCCTTCCTAAGATAGTTGGTCTTGCTTCTTCTTAATAACAACAAGATTAAATATAGAGTTGCAAGTTTTTCAGCTTGTTTTCGGGAAAGTATGTTATACACCAAAATTAAAACTGTTTCAATGGGAAGACTTTAGCCAAGTTTCGTTAAAATCATTAAAGCCAGTTTATAGCGAACAATTTTTTTGTGGCTTTGAACAAAAAAACATTTACATTTTTATTTTTTTTACATAAATAAAATTATCATAAGACAGAAGTACTATGCCAGAAACCTTCCTAGGAATATACGGAACAACTTCCCAAAGTTTCATGGGGATCGGCTGAATGGTTTAGTAATGCATAAAGGACAAACAAACAGACAGACATACATTCATTTATATATATATATATATATATATATATATATAATTGGTATGGATGTGTGGTTGGCGGTACAATATATTTTTGGCAGGTTATGGTTTCCTCCATTAATGAAATTTCTAACTGGATCACCCAGGGTAGGTAATTGTCAGAATTTATTAACATGAAATCATTAATTGAAGTTTAAAATTAAATGTAATTTTTGTTATGAAATTTAATTATCTATTTTTATAATTCATTCCTTACTAAATATGAATAATTTTATATATATATATATATATATATATATATATATATATATATATATATATATATATATTTATTATTATATATAAAGCTTTTTATTAAAATTAATAATTAATTTTTATATTCTGTTACAGGGTTTTTTTCCTGGCCTAATTCACATTGCCTATGTTGTAAGGCCTTCTGGGTTTTTCCAGAAAGCAATTTCAGAAGTTAGCAACAAGTTTTTTAAAGAAGAATTCAAATTTAAGGTAATATTTTATTTTTTATTTTTGAAAAATTTACTCCATGCTTTTTAGAAATTCTGTTCATTTCAGATATTTCATTGTGTCTAAATGATACCAGTAAAAGGTTTATTTTATTTTTTATTTGGTATATAGTTTAATGCTTCTTTGATAAATTTAATGCCTAAGGTTTAGGCCAATCTTCCCTCCCCCCCCCAAAAAAAAAAAAAAAAAAAAAATGAATTAAATAAAAAATAGATTTTTGTTAAGATATAATTGAAAAATTCCGTGCACATGTGTCTCTAGTCTGTAAAGGACCGGTTAACAACCAACCAGTCAACTTTTCAATTCATACATCACAGGGACAGTAGACGTAAAATCGCATATATGCAAATCAAATATACCATATCTAATTTTAACCTTACAAAAAAATACTTAAAGATAAACTGTGCCTCGTCAAGACATCATAACACATTGTTGTGTTTGAAAACCTAGAATTTTATGTTAATAGTATAAACAGACTTATCTTGATGGTTTTTTGTTTGTATGAATACTAAAAAAATTGATTGTATTGATATTTTAGAATGAAATAATGGAATATGATGTAAATATTCATGCCAGTACTGCTCATTGCTATTTAGACAAAATGTGACTAATAAAGCAGTTAATTTAATATGTAGACGAAATATGGAAAATAAAGCAATTAATTAACTTTAACATAATTAAATTTTCTTCATAGATATTTGGACACCCATTTTACTTTATTTTATATAAGCTTAAATATTATGTCTCTATTAGTAATTTAAGTTATATTGTCCTCTTAACATTTGATGGAATAAATAGGAAGTCTATTGCTTGAGATAAAATGTCTGTTTCAACATGTGTTTGACTATCAGTACCAGCCACAGTCCAACTGTAATTTATACATTGTTTCTATTCCAAAACCTGAATCCTACATCCACCTGGAACAGAAAAACTGTACTACACATTTGGCTGACAGTTTAATGATAGTCAAAACTCATATTAGAACAGATTTAAAGTGTATTTCTTATTTTATATGTGGAGTAATAATATTCTAATGTTATGATAAAGTGAAAATGTAACATTAATAGGAAGTTATGATTTTCAGGTCATTGTCTGCAGTAATCTGGAAGAACTTCACCAGTTTATAGATAAATCAGAACTTACAAAAGAACTTGAAGGAACAATGCAGTATTCACATCAAAGATGGATCTCACAAAGGATAGTTAGTATATTATTATCACTTCATTGATTTGTAAAGGTTTATTTAATTGTGGAGATTGTATTGTATAATATATAGATTACATTGTATTTAAGTATGGAGATCTGCACTTGTATGTCTCAGGATAAAAACCTGACAATAGGGAATGATTGCAGACAAAATCACTTTATTTTTGTTAATATTGGTAAAGAAACAGTACATCCTTATCGAATACTGGTGTTGTGGTTTAAAATATTCTGTTTTCATTTTACAAATAAATGTAAAGTAAATAAAATAAAAAATGTACATGGATACATTTATTAAATGTTTTTTATTTTAATGAAGAAAATAATATAATAAATATAATCACTTTTATCTTTTAAATTTAGGGTTTGGAAGAGTTCTCTCGACAAACAAGCTCGGTATCTGGCTCCTTAGACAAATTTACCACACGATTACGGGAAAGTCCTGTTGAGCCTCAAGTCGGAGCCCTCAATTCTGAGACTCAAGACTACCTTGCTCTTAAAGAAGAGATCTTGAGGACAGCAAAAGGTGGAGAAACTCTACTGGCTCACTTCCGTCTTGAATCTGGCCCATCTTCTCTAGTCAATATAACCGCAGTTGAAAGGTACATTTTAAATATTGAGAGTATATTGTTTTTCTTTTACCCTACAGTTCCCTTTTTGTAAATCTAATGTTTCATACTTAAGTTAAGGAAAAGCTAAATGATTTTCTAAATGAAAATTGGCGTATTAACTTTGAAGGTTAGTTAGTGGTAGTGTGTGAATAAGGTTTATTATTATTATTTTGATTGTATTATGACAATCTTGAATAAATACTCAAATAAACTTTTTCTAATCCGAAGTTATTTAAAATGATAGAATTTATTATATGTAAATTTAAAGACAAATTTTAATCGCTCAATCACAGGCTCCTTGTACAACTTGAAGAAACTGAAAGGACTTTTGATGAATTCTGGGCTGAACATTCTTCAAAGTTACGCCAAGCTATTGAAATTCAGCGTTTCAATGCTGACTATAAGCGAACTCAGGTGAATTTATTTTTCCGTGATAAAGTCTATTTTAGTTGCATGACGCTAGAAGTATTACTTTTTTTAAATTTGTGTATATAGGGATTGATAATTTGCAATATGTTTATTATTTATTTTTTCACAGATTATGCTATTCTCTTTTAGACTATTACACATGTTTCCAAAAATTTCCTTTTTCTGCAATACTGAATTTTAAGGAGCCTTTATTATCATTGTTCTTGTTGATATGTTATCAATGTATAATTATTGATGAGGTGCTGTGAGTCCTATTAATTTTCAGAATGGTTTAGTACTGAAATCCAGTAGTTTTAAATGATTGTTACCTTGCATAATAATTGTTGCAGCTCTCTTGATGTTGTGCTTGTGCTAAATAAATATAAGTGTAATGAGCTTATACGCCACTGTTGAAATTAAAAATCTAAGGTGCTACACGTTGATTTTCTCCAGCTGTCATTCAGATACAACCTTCAATTTTGTTACACATTTCTTTGGTGCTGAGAGATTTAGTGGTTTAGTGGAGTAGTTGATCAAATATGAATGTAGACATTACTGCAATCCAGGAGATGAGGGGGACCAAGCAAAGCATATTAAATAGAAGAACCACATAATATTTTACTGCTCTAATGACCGCAACCATACTTATGGTACAGGCTTTATAATAATGAAGAATGTGGTCCAGCTCATCATTGGATTCAGGCCTGTTGACCCAAGAATATGCTACCTAGGCATGAAAGGCAGATCTTCAACTACAGTTTTATTAGCATCCACTCCCCTACGGAGGTTTCTGATGAGGAAGAGAAGGATGCATTCTATGCTGCCCTCGAAGGATGCTACGAATAATGCCCCCGAGCAGATGTGTAAGTTGTGTTGGGGGATTTCAATACACTGGTAGAAAAGAAATCTGCTTTCAATTCCACTATTCGCAAGCATAGTATCCGTGAAGTAACCAATGACAATGACACCAGAATGATAAACTTCGCCCGAGGCCTGGTCGTTGGCAGTACAATATTCCCTCATAAGCGAATACACCTTACCACTTGGCGGTCGAACAATGGGGTAACCACAAATAAAATAGACCATATCCTAGTCAGCGGAGGGTACTATATACTATATACATTCTTATAGATGTATGGCAGAGAGAAGAATTACCCAGTGAATGGTATGACACAGTTATATACCCCATTTACAAAAAAGGAGATACCCTGATTTGCACTAATTACTGTGGCATATCATTGCTTTCCAGTGCCTATAAGATCTTTTCTGGAATTCTGTTGGGGAGGCTTCTGCCCTTCAGCCAGAGAGAAATAGGTTGTTATCATATAGGGTTCATTCAAGGGAATTATACGACCGATCAGATGTTCTCTCTCAGAATCCTTCTGGAGAGGGCGAGGGAATTCCGGATCAGTACCAACCACCTATTTCTTCTAGACTTTAAGGCAGCTTACAATAGTGTTTGAAGAAAAGAGCTGTACAGGAGAATGCTAGAATTGGGAATCCCAACTAAAACTTGTTTGAGTGGCCCGCATGGCAAAGAAGGAAGTGAGGTGCTTGGGCTAACCAGGCTGCGCTGGGCTGACAGTGTGGTGGAAGATTTTCGGTCCATACTGGGCATCCATAACTGGAGAGCAACGACGCGACAAAGAGATGGCTGGCAGTCAATGTTGCAGGTGGCCTTGCTCCCTTGCGGCATGTAGTGCCAATAAAGAATTATTTTTTTCTCCCATGGATATGTTTTATGTTCTCTGCATCCAAACACTGTTGTGTGGACTTGCATACTAAACCTAAATGAATCTCCTGCTACTATTCAGCTGTTTTTTTGGAAATTGATTATTGTAAATAGTTCATTGGTTATTGACTATGCCTCACTTAGATATATTTAATGATTTCATATCGATTAGCTGGGGGGGGGGTATTTTTTTTTTTTATTCCAGCTTGCACAGAAATTTTGAGAACTGTTTTTGGAGTATTCCATAGTGCTTTGTTTCGAAATGTTATGGGTTAGATTTCCACCTGGGTCAGTTAATAATATGTTTCTCAGCCCCCTCCCCAAGAAATGAATCTTGACTCTTCCACTCTGAATAGTACACAGTGGCTACCTCAGGGATTTGGTAAAAAGTATCATGGACTATTATCTAATGTTAAGAATTTTATTTGGAAGATGTTAAGATCTTTTTTTGTGTAAGCTAAAATATGTTTGGTAGATAACTGGAATAGTTTCTTTATGCCTGATCGAATCAAATATATGTTTCTAACATGTATTGAGGTTGAAATAATACTAAAACTTACAAGAAGTAGGCTGTTGGCAACAAAATTAGAGTTTTTATTTTTTTTAAGCTGTGATATTAATAGTCCATGATACAGAGCCTTTATTATCAAATTATTAACATCCGCCTAAAACTTTATGAATGGCTTCATCTTATCGTAACCTACAATTTTTTGATCTAATAAAATGCTCAGAGATGGGGCATTTTTCATTAAATTAATTAATTTAAGTTAAAAAAACTCTAAATAAATGTATTTAATGAGCTGCTAAAAATTCGTAAATACCCATTTCCTTTATACACAAAAAAAGGTGACCTACAAAGATATTGGGCTGTTTGTTCTATATAACCTCATTATTTTGACATTTTGGGAGTGGTGGTCATGCCAAACGACCCAATATTTTTGCAGGCCACATTTTTTCTTCATTTTACGATCAAATTACCTTACAATTCAAGTGGAAAGCAAATGGGTGTTCATGAGTTTTTAGTACCTAATTAAATAGACAATGTTTGCCGATCTCCAGATAGAAAACGCTCTAATTCCGAACATTTTCGTAAATAAAAAAGTTTTAGATTATGATGAGATGATTCTATTCAGGAAATTATAGGCAGATGTTAATAATTTAATTAAAAGGGGTCTATAATACGGACTATAACAATATAATTTATGTAAAAATTTCCTAAAATCATCATGCTGTAATGGAGTATTGACTGTTTTTGATCCATATAGCTAGTATCAGTTCAATATCTCTTTAATATCTCAATACTTGCTATGGTTTATCGTCACATAAAAAACTTTTATGAAAAAAATTGCTATTAATTTTTTAAATAAAAAGAGTAAGTGATGATAAGTTAGAATTAGAATTTCGTTAATATTATGATAAGATTTCTCCCTGAATATTAAATTAAATCAATATTTTTGTTTCATTTTTTAGAGCGTTCTAGAAGCTGATCTAAAAGCTGTCTCCGAATCTACAGAGATCGGAGAAACAGTTCAAAGAATGGAATATCTGATTGCGGAGTTTACTGCTCTAGAAAAAGCTTGCATTGTAAGTATTTAGGACTGTTAATTAAATTATATTATTTTCATTGAAAAAAGATTAAAAATAATATTATCTTCATAGCGTGATATGGATCAGTGTGATGAAGTGCTGAGTTTTGGAAGAAGTTTACTCCGTGGGAGGCATTATTGGCCTCTTGAGTCAGTAACTGTACGATGTGAAGAGCTGGAGAGAGCATGCTCAGTTCTCAAGGAGCGGCTGGCACAACGGAGTCGCTCTCTAGCCAAATCCCACCAATTACAAATAACAGTTGACCAGGTGAGATTTCATAGAGTTTTGGGTTATTTATACTTTCATTTTGAAGTATTATTATGAATGTTAAGATAGGCACTGTATGATGTTTGTACTATTAGTTCTATTAAAAATTTATTCATGCCAGGTGGTAATAGTTTGAGAAAAAAAATCATAAATTTAATTATAATAATATATAATTACGTCATGTATCCTACATTATTATTGTTTGCAGGCCAACAAATGGTGCAGCCATGGAATAGACCTCTTGGGAGCTAAACACCTTGATAATTGTTCTTGTGCCTTCGATGTAGCTCAAGTTTCTTTAGCACAACTCACAGAATTCACCAAAACAGCAGATCAGTTTAACTCTCTTCTTGTTGAGTATTCAACACCTGAAACGAAAGCTCTGGTTTCTCAGGTGATTAATTTTCATTGATATCTCAAAAATACAATGACATATTACTAAGGATAATTTACAGTGTGTATGTTTCTACTTCTAAAATGGGTTTAATTATAAATTTCTTTTGAAAATTTAAAGTGTGTACAGTACATTAATACTTACTAAAAGCCATTTATTATAAATAGCTAAACCAAGTGTTGTGTTGAGGAATAGGAAATTCTTTTTCATCTCAACCTTCATGGATCTATTATTAAATATGTATGTAAAGCTCTTTTTATTGTTCATTCTTTTTGATGTGTGTTATAGGCAATTTTGGAGTATTAAAGTAAAACATTACAATTCTTATTCTAGGTTTTACAGCGTATAGATGATGTCCGGACAATGTGTGATAAACGGGTCGTCACACTGAGGAGATTGGTCGAACGTCCTCCAGGACCCACGGGTCCAGAACCTCCAGCACCGATGGTGCCTCCTCCTCCACCCTCCAGTCATGATTATATCCTCAATAAGACAACTATTCAGAACCATAAAGTAAGTGCCACCGGTTTTTTTCTTTTCATTGAATGAAAAAATTTTATTTTTTAAGCACATCATTATTCCTTTTCCCTTGCTTTAATACAAATACTGAGTAAAAACAATCACTTATTGTTGTTAATAATGTAGATTTTAAAAGAATTTTATCAAGCTTATTTTGGAGTAATTTAGTTTCTGAATGAGCATATTCATTCACATTTGATTAATTCAAGTATATGTCTCATATATGCTACTTTCATGTATAAGCAGACAACTTAAAGGAGAACCTTGTGAGCATGAAATAGTATTTTTCTGTGAGCATTAAATAGTATTTATGTTACTCCTTTGTTTTATATTTAAAAAAAGAAAAATTAAAGATAATATCAATATTATGCTATTAGATATAGTTTGAAATAAGTATGAAAGGATTTCGAGAGTTACGTTTCAATTGAATTAATATGTATAATAGGTAGACTGTGTATTTTATCTTAAAATATAGAAGAATAAAAGCCTTTCTTTGTACAGTCTTATTTATTTATGTTTCATACATTACACAGTACTTTCGGTACTCTGTATGATATTTATCTCTTTCTAAACTGATTTAATTATCCAGTTTGGAAGTTGTTCTTTCAAAAATTTAATTTTTTCCAATCATTGCTAGGTTGTCGTACTATTTACCTACAATAATACTTTTTTTTTTAAGAAACAATATAAAAATTTAGCAATGATAGGAAAGAACTAAATTTTTGGTAGAATGACATCCCAAGTGGATGGAGTCAGTTTAGAAAGAGAAAAATTTGGTGGACCCCGAGAACTCCTTATAACACATGAGATATAAATAAATAGGACTGTACAAAGAAAGGTTTTTTTTCTTCTATATTGAATTAGGCTGACCGGCCACCGAAAGCACGGCTCAGCTGAGCTGAGCGTAGCAAGAGATCGGCAACCGATAGCGTAGTGGAGCTCATCTGAGTCAGCAACTTGCCTGGCAGTGGTATCCTTCTTATATTCCATATAGCATTTTAAAAATATATATACAGCATATATAATATTTTTAAAAAATAGCAAAGTTGATCATGTCGGAGCTGAAAAGAAAAATCAATTATTTATGTATAAAATTGAATATTTTTCCTCACACATTCCATTGAGTATTCTTCCACATTCATTGCATATTTTACACTGAACCAAAATAAAATAATTTGAGAGTTTGTGCAGTGAAAACAAGTGGATAGAAAGGATGACACTGAGGAATAAAGCTATACGGTTGTGAGGCAGTGATGAGTAGGTCTGGTGGGGAAAGCTGAGCGTAGCTTCAAAACCGAACGTCAGTCGAGCCAGAGCTGAGCAAAGTTGCCCCCTTACGACGTCGCTCAACTGCGCTCATCTAAGCTTCGCATCTTCAGCCTTAATATTTTCAGAGAAATTTTCATTACGATGTCACTGTCTAGGAGTAGGGGGCAAAAGATTTAATGACTTTTAAGTGCATCAAACTAGTGGGAGTCAGATCACCAATATTCTGCTGTATTTATAATTAAATATTCAGCACTCTAACAAAAATCTATCTATCAATTTTTTGCAGCATCTTCTCTTGTAGATTTATTCTTATTACATTTTTACTTTTTCAAAAATTTAGCTAATATCCAAGTAGCTTTGGAAGATTAAGTTATAAAACAAATTATTTTACCTAATAAATACTTATTTTATACTTAAAAAAAAATAAGCATTAGGAACAGAAAAAAATATAAATCTAGAAGGTCTGTTACTATAATACTTTGAACACTCATTTCATAATATATATGTAGTTCTTTTTGGATAGTTATACATAAAGTGCGTGTGGGTGTTTCTTATTTCAGGATGAAACTGACAATTCCAGAATGACAAATGGTGTTTTGGAAAAAGAACAGGAAGTTAAGAGAGGTCATGTCCTCGCCGAGCTTCTAGAAACTGAGCGGCTTTATGTATCTGAGCTTGGATCAATAGTTGAGGTCAGTTTGTGGTACATATTATTATTATTTATATATTTTTGTGGATATAATGCTGTACTATTATTATTTATATATTTTTGTGGATATAATGCTGTACTATTATTATTTATATATTTTTGTGGATATAATGCTGTACTGCAATATTATATCAGTTCTTGAGTAAAGTATTAAATTTCAGGGTTACATGAGGGCAATGGACGATGATGAGCTTAGGCACTTATTACCCGTTGAAGTCCAAGATAAGCGCTACGAACTGTTTGGCAATCTTGAAGAAATTTACAAATTTCATGGAGACATTTTCTTGCAGGATCTTGAAAATTGTATATCAACCACTGAGCTGGTTGCTCTTTGTTTTACACATAGGGTATGGGTTACTATTTGCTCACTTCAAACTTTGTGAATTGCGATTTAACAAAGAATTTGCTTTGTTATTTTTATTAATGTTCTTCTCAATTAAAGCATTAATATTAATATTACAGAGAGATGCATTACACAAACTGTACAGTACTTATTGTCAGAACATCCCACGCTCCGAGAGGCTTCGAGAGAGAACCAGTGATGACTCATTCTTCAAGGCTTGCCAGACTAGGTTAGGGCACAAATTACCTCTTGCTGCTTATTTACTCAAGCCTGTACAAAGGATCACAAAATATCAATTGCTCATTAAGGTATATTTTTACAAATTTCATATAACAGATATCTTATTAATGTGAGTAATTTAGTAATTTCTAGGCCTGAAATTTATTGGATGCTTCCGTGTAAAACTAGAAAAGCCATATGGTGGCTGGGTATATCATGGTCACACTGTTGATAAAATTGCGTTAATTTTGATTAAATTATTTTTATGATTGCCGTTTAATATAATTTAAAAGTTACGGTTCAATTGTTTGAATAGAAAGGATTGGAGGTCATTTACTTTCGATTGAGCCTATACTTAGAAATGGTTGGAATTTCTTCTAGTGTGACCATTTTAGCTTCCAGTTCCAGTCGCCATCTTGTGGGCTGTGTTCTACACAGGTTTCTTTTTTTTTTATGTCATAATGCATCTTATTGGAAAACGGAGGTTCGACTGTATTTTTTATACTTTTTAAAAATTCTATATTAAATCCTTATAACTGTAAGCTTGTACATTACAACTTATTGAAATAGTTCTGTGACCATTTCATCATTCATAAATTACAATACTTTTTCTTCTATTAATTATTATTAAAGTAATCATAATGAACTTATTGATGTTTTGCGAACATTGATTTGTATAAAAGTTTTGAAATATAAATTTTTTTTAGAAGTAAAATTAAAATATTAGGCCAGTATTTGAAAATGTTCTGTATTATGCAGGACTTACTTGGATACAGTGATGGAAAGAAATGGTGTGGAGAATTACAGGAAGCATTGGATTGTATGTTGGTCGTCCTGAAGTGCGTAAATGACAGTATGCATCAGATTGCAATCACTGGCTACAGGGTAATATCCTAGTTTTAGTGGATTCTTAAATGGCCAAAAATTTTGTGTATTATTGATAGAAGTATTGAAGATTATTAGTTTTTATGAGTTGTTTGAGTCATTAAATAAATATTTAAAATTAAGTTAAAATAATGAAGCGAAAATTCAAAAACAAAACCTTACAAGTCATCAATAAAGTAAAGGGAAAAACACTGTACTTTCCTTGTCATATAGAGGAACACTAATAAAAGGTGATGCCAAATATAGGCCTAAATCTTTTTTTTTTTATTAGTAATTTTTTAAGAAATATAGATAGCAATCTCAATCGCTATGTAAGATTCCCTGAAAATTAAAACAAAATATACCAGCTTTGCAGAACGTGTGGAAAATATTCAGAACAACATATTTCTGCTCCAAATTGTCCGATTTCTAAGATTCTTTTTTTGGAAATCTTGTAAACTTTTAAATGATCATATAACAACTATAAAAAAATGTATACTTTTTGTGTTATTAGAAAATTTAATTTTACTACCCCTCATAATTGGATGCTGATTGACATTGAAACTAAATCTCAAAACAAGCAGTCCAGTAGTCTCAAAGAAATGCCTTGGATAGATATATATTTTTTTTATTCGATTTTCAGATTCAATGTATCTTGAAATGTAAAATCTCAAATTATGAGATGAGTTTAATTTTTTTTTTTCAAAGTCGATTACAATGGTTGATTATTGAAAATAATAAACCAAAATGAAGAATAAAAAATAAAACACTTAAAGAATAAAGTTTAGATTTCTGGTATTGGGAAATCCTTTCACTTCATGATGATATAATACACTAACTGTTTTAATAATAATAATAAAAGGCTTAGCGAACCCAAAGGTTCGATGCCGACACCACCAATCGCTTATTACACACCTCTCTCCACCGTTCGCCATCCAAACCCAGTCCCTTGAGATCGGCTTTAATGCAATCTTCCCACCTTCGCTTTGGACTACCCCTCAGACGCTTACCTTTCGGCACAGCAAATATTAACCTTTTAGGAATTCTCTCGTTACTAAGTCCAACAACTTTACAAGCCCATTTGATTCGCCGCGATGAAATTATCTCAATTATATTACTCGGATACAGTTCACGCAATTCGGCGTTGTGTAACCGTCTGAACTCTCCGGTTAACTCATCCTTCTTCGGTCCGAATATTCTACGCAATACTTTATTTTCAAAAACCTTAAGACGCTGCTCATCCCTTAATGTAAGCGGCCAAGTTTACATAACTGTTTTAAAAAAATTTGGAAATATATTTGACTAGTTTTGGGATTTTATGTCTTATCAACAGAAGTATTTTATTTTTCCTTATTCATTTTTAACTAAATATTGAAAAAACAGCTATTGCGAATTTTATAGTAGTAAAATTAAATCTTTTCAAGCTCAAGGTGCCAGGTTAGGGTCTGGCTGATGGCAGATAATTATTTATTCTGTTTTATCAGCCATGGATCGACCCTGGGATCGGGAGGCCCTCCTGGGGCAAAGCCAGCCTCTATAAATTGGGTACTCTTAATTAAATAATTAATTAAGGAAAACTTGATAGTAATCTTGGTCTGACCACCAACCTGCACAACTGTTGTTCTTGAGACAGTAATTCCTTACAATGTACTGAACTTCGGACCCTTCATGGGTTGTAGTGTTATTTTTTTATTTTTATTTATGTATAAAGGTAAAATTCTATGATTTTGTTCTCTAATAGTAACAGAATGAAAGAAACTGTTTAATTTTCCTATTGTCCTAAGTTTACTTGATTTTAATTATACAGGGTGATCTGGCTGCTCTTGGGGAATTGTTGATGCAGGGGAGCTTTTCTGTTTGGAGTGAAAGCAAAAAAGACAGATTGAAAGAGTTGCGTCTCAAACCACGCTCACGACACATTTTCTTATACCGAGCAGCTCTGCTCTTTACTAAGCGTACTGCTCTTCACTCTAAAGCTACTTATCATTACAAGCGGATTGTGAAGGTATTAAATCAAATATTGTTAAAATTTCCAATGTATTTATCCCACTCTATAAATTTTTAAAGGAGTTGTCGTCTACATGAATTTTTTAAATTTATTTATGTATATAATTATTTTTAAATATCGACATTACCAGAATATACCCAAAGTTAATTCATTTCTACATTTTTATTTTTTAAAATAAATTTATCATTAGCCATGTATGCTTGCTCCTTTAAATGAAGACTTAATGAAAACCACAGAGAAAAAGTTGGCGATGTCACATGTTTTTCAAAATTGAGTTAGTGGTGGGTGAAAATTGATAGAAAAAAAATCTGGTGCGGTGCGCGCATCACACAACTTTCACTTATCACTTTCTTCTTTGTGGAAAAAGGGAAGTGAAAGTAAAAATTATAGACAGTATATTTATTTATATTTCATTGTGGGTATTTTTATTTGTATAAATACCCTTTTATATATATATATGTATATATATATATATATACACACAAATTTTAATATTTATATCGCTGTAATCTATACAATTAAATAATACCAACTATAGCATTTATGAAAACCACATATGTATATTTATATAATATTGTTGGAGTCTGTATTATATTAAGCTCATGTTACATATGGAAGTGTGTTCTAATGTTTCGGGAGAGCTCGGGTGCGCTCGTATTCCTTTGGTTCCTCAATTACAACTATTCTCCGTTATGATCTCTTATTTCTCTTTTAGTTAATTATGAAATTCTTTCATATTATATTTAACTTTCTTCCTATCAGAGATTAATGTGAAATAGTCAATTGTTTCAAATAAAAAAAATTAAAGGTACTTTAGAGGAAGCTAATATTGAAAATTAGCCATTTAAGTTCTGTTATAGGGCATCAATCAGATTAATAACTACATTTTATTTAAAACTACTTAATTTTACACTGATATGGTGAATTTAAAGAATTATGGTGAATTGCCATTTTCGAGAAAATCGGATAAATGTGTTTAGTCCATTATATAAAGTGCCACTTCCGGTTAGTCGATTTTGACGAAAGTTGGTGTAACATCCCTAGCATATAAAAACCTTAAATATGCACTTTCATTTTTGTAGGACTTTTCGTTTTTCAGCTATAGTATTAAAACACACACGCACACGTACACACACACGTACATGCACGCGCTCACGCCCACGCCCACGTGCTCACGCTCACACTCACACTCACTGTTCACTTGATTTGTCATGAAAAAAGTTTCTAGCATTTTATTATTATTATCTTGGCGCAACAACCTGTGGCCGTGTCTGTTTAACCACCTGAATGGCATTAGGCTTTTTAATTAAACCATAAACCTTTAGGTTTATGCATCTCTTTCAAATATCCTCTGAAAGATTTTCCGCTTGAACATAAGGAGAATCTGTTCATTATTCTTGGTCATAGTCCATGTTTCTGAGCCGTATATCAGCACTGGACAGATTATGTTTTTGTAAAAATGTAATTTTGTTTGGTGAGATAAAATGTGCCGTGCCCACCAAGCTGTTTTCTCAGGATTTAGTAGCCCTGGTTAGCTGAAATTATTTTCCTTCTAATTTCTGCTTCTATGCTATTGTCGTGTGTTACCATTGAGCCTAAGTAAATAAATTCGATGACTTGCTCAAATCGGTAGTTCCTGAATGCCACCATATCATTGCATCGAGCCATCTCCTCTGTCACTGTGTATTTGGTTTTCACTTGGTTGACCTCAAGACAAAGTTTCCTTGCACGACCCACCAGTGTTAGAAATGCTTCCCTGACAACCAGTTCAGAGGCCCAATGATGTCGAAATCGTCTGTACAAGCCAGTAGTTGTGATCTCCGACTAAATACTGAAAAGTATTTCTTAAAATATCTTAGATAGGACCATTAGTATGATTTGTATTGTTAAAAAAAGTTTTTTTTTTTAAATTACAGATGGGTGAAATAGGTCTTACAGAAAGTGTCAAAGGTGATAACAGACGTTTTGAGATTTGGTCACCTGGAAGGAGTGAAGTCCACACCATTCAGGCACCCAGTTTACAGGTAAATTGCATTTTGTAATTTATTGTATACAAATTTTAGAATATAATTTTCTTATTTGTGCATTGATCATAAATAAAAGGGGATGATAATTAAAATTATAAAAGTTTTTTTACATTTTTTTTAACATTCAAAAGGAACACATTTACTCTAAATGAAACAATATGGAAAAAAATACTAGTAATTTGTATAAATTTATATATTACATCACGTACATGCACGCCCATATAGATTTACATCTATAATTATAAAAATAGTAAGAAAGAAAAATAACCTGAACCACTAACGATTGAGCCCACTAATGAAGGTTCTTAGGTTCAGTACAATATGAGATACTGCTACAAGGCCAATGGTTGTGAAACTAGGTGATGGGCCAATATCATGCTCGAAAATAGTAAGAAGCATTCTATTATTAACAATCACCAAGAAATATTAGGTAATCTATTATACTTTGTCATTATTTGTATGATGTTTATAATTATTTTGAAGATTGTATGTCATCGATATATGACAAATTACCAGATCTATTCCAACCTATCTCTGTTATCAGGTTCTCTTTATTGGTATGTACATCAATCTTTGAATATTATTAGCAAAACAATGCAGTTAATTTTATATCCTCTGTTACATCACATAAATATAATTTACTGAAAGGAAGACACCTGACTATTACACCAAATTTTAGCATTCATAGACTTTGATTTCACTACTAATCCATCTGTATGTTTAAGTAGATATTACATTCTATTTCTTAGGATCGATAGTGTTCCATATATTTTAAAAAATAAAATTATTTTTTATTTTGTAAATCAAAATTGATCAGCAGTTTTAATTGGGAAAATTCTTCAAAGTTATAAGTTTAATGATGAGAATAAATAGTATGTGAAACAAATTATCATAGTATGACTCATGACAGTTATAATTAACTTTATTACCCTACTAAGCGAAATGAGGTTTATGTGTTTGCACCATCTGCTAAAAGCTATGTAATACTGTTTTGAGTGATCGGTTGGATCTATTTTTTAAGTTTGAAGGCTCAAATTATTCAGTGAGATCCTGTGAGTGTTTTGAAACAATTTGAGTTCAAAACATTGACTCATGATTGAATAAAATGTGTTTAATCGATTTGCTAAAAGGTATGTTACGATTTTTCGAGTCTAATGATTTTTAGTATTCGGTAGGATCATGAGTGTTTTGAAAGAATTTCAATTTCAGCTCGAAATTCTGGCAAATTACTTTATAAAGTGTGTTTAATCAACCTGCTAAAAAGTACATAACGATTTTTCTAGTGGATGGTATGATTGATTTCTAGCTTTTATGGCTGTAATTAGTCAGTTAAATCCTGGGATGTTTTGAAACAGTTTGAGCTCAAAGTACTAAACAATTTATTATAGTTTAAGTATTTCGATTATAAATTGTAAATTGATGTGAAATGATATCATGTGATCCTATGTTATGAAAATTAATTGTTAATATTTTATAAAATAAAAATAAAAAAATAAAAAAAATATTTGAATTAAAAAAAAAACTAATACAGAAATTGGTTAATTCTGTCCACCCTAAAGGAATATACTTCCATATTTACTTAAAAATCTTAGTAGATTGATTGGAAAATTGACATATACGAATAACTTCATGTAGTTGTCGGGTCCCTTATTGAAACTCAAAATTCTTTCAAAAGTTGACATGCACCGATATATGGGACTAAATCAATTTTCCTGGAGCCGTAATATGTAGTGAAAGGCACCTGACTATTACACCAAGTTAAAATATTCCTAGATGTCAATACTTCTATCAATCTACAATGATGTTTAAGTATATATGGAAGTCCATTCTTTTACAATGGATAGAATTTCCCCATTTCTGTTGTCGTTTTTTTTTTTTTTTTTAATTCAGTTATTTTTTTATTAATTTAGTATTCAAACATTTGAAGGGTTTTGTAGACATCCTTTGGTTGGATCAATATAATTTTAGATAATGTTGTTTCATTTAAATACTGTACATCTTTATTTCGTGGTTTTAACAGGCAAAGGCTGCGTGGGTCGATCAGATAAAGGCATTACTCTTGGAACAGTTAACACAACTCAAAGTTAAACAAGGTGTTAAGCACTCGTAAGTATTTTTTAGTTTTTATTTCAAAAATTATTTAACTTTGAATATTGATTATGATCATTATAAATATTATTTTATAGTGGATTGAGAGCTATGTCCCTTGACGGAGGCCTTGTCAAAGGCAGAGAAGAAGACGAACTGGCTTCTTCATCAGATTTCTCAAATTCAGATGATGAAGAAACATTTACTAATCAGGTAATGAATCATTATTGTTCAAATATTATGATTGTTTCTATTTTAGCCATGTTACTCATGGTTACTTAATAAGTAATTAAGTGGAAATTCAAGCTTTTATTACTTTAATTCTTCATTTCATCTAATGAATACAAATGCCTACCTATATATATCTTTGACTTTTTGTTAAAAAGATCAACATAAAAAAGTCTGTTTTAATATAATTTTATAATATCTTTTTAATCACCTCCAGTTCACTGGATTAAGGTTTCAGAGCCATCCATCAAGAGCCACTTATTTTCAAGTTATATCTATCTAATATATAAAAAAGTTTTTTGTGACTGATATTTTATTTTACATATAAAAAGCCATAATGAAGACACCACACTTCTTATTACCAAAATTATTTCTCCCTTTATATTTATTATTTATATGTTACAAAGTGGCAATAAGAATAATTATAATTATATGATAATATAAATTGGCAATTAGGCTCGATTTATTATAAAGATTTTTAAAGGAATTAAAAATTTGTCCGAACTGTATGTAAGGGGGTGTCAAGATAAAATAACCACTTTGACTCAGAAGACCGCAAGAACTAAGAAAATAATATTACAACAAATTTAACACACTAATAAAAAAATATGAACAAACCATTTTAAAAAAACAAACATTTAAGTCACACAATAGTTACAATAATACCAGATTTTTTCTTCTCCTCTTTCCTGGTGTGTTTACCATATGGGGTTTCGGTAGCAGTGGGTTAATATTTATTTTCTTTCTTATTTTTTGTATAATTTGTCTGGCAATTTGAATAGTTTTATACTGTGGTGCAGCCGCTTGATCTTCCTCATGCTGCCTCTTCCGGTTCTCTTCTCTCTGGACTGCTGGTGGAAGATCTCTCCCTATCGTGAAGTGCGTAGGCTCCACCTTCTATCTCCATTTTCCCACGAACTCCACGAAGTGGGGATATTTCTCCTCTTCTATGAGTCAGAGAATGTCCTCTTCATCTTAGGCGAACAATCCCGTCCTCCATATCAATATGGTTTTGATATAACCACAGGCTCAGCTGTGTCATGGGCACTACAATCAGGTCATAAGAGGTCAATATTTTTCCTAAGCTTCCTGATTTTGTCTCGAAACTCCCCTCCCCTCTCCCATGTCTCATCAGTATCCGTGAGGTCCAGTAGTCCAGCTCAACCTATTATGCCTCCAATCTCAAATGAACAGTGACGAAGTGCCTTCTCAAGGTGGCTCCTTTCTCACTTGCAAGCCACCGCTCATTCCACTCCTCTAATGTCACCTCTTGGACTATTCCATTCCATCTTCCTGGGTCCTTTGCTGAAATTCCTCTGGGAGTGTCTCCAGCCCCTGCCTCTTTTTGTCATTCCTCCCTGCGTTCTGGAGGATGAAGTCCAGGGTCACCTCTCCAGCCAGCAATTGCACCACTTCGTGGGACACTATCCTTTATGCTCTAGTCATCCTCAACAGAGTGAGCTTCATCGTGGATCGTGGCCCTCTTCTTCTTCTTTATCTGATTCAGGCAATGGCTCCACACTGGGGATCCATACCTCAGTAAATCTAGTATAACTCCCTTGTAGATGATTCTCATCGCTGGATATCTGAGGCCCAAAAGGCACCCCCTATCCGTGCCAGACCATTTAGGGGCAGGGTCACTCTACTCTGTATGTGTTCTATGTGAGAAGAGATATTGAATCCCGATTTAAATCTCACACCTAGATAGGTGACATCCTCACCTAGGTGGACTCTATCTCCTCCTGCTCTGAGTCTAATAGGTGGGCCCTGTCCGTAGAACCCTTCAACGGAATGGCCTGGGTCTTTGCTGCCGTCATCTTCATCTTCTTTGTGGCATACCATCCATTCTGCCACCAATCTCACTCTGCTAGTCACTGCTACTATGGCAGCCAGGTCATTAATGTAGGCTACTGAAGCCTGCTACCTCCAATTTCTCCAGCAACTGGTCGAATAGTAACTTCCACAGGGCCAGGCTCTGTGGACATTCTCTTCCTATTTTCCTCTCTACCTCAGAGAAGGTACCCCATATCCTGACTTTCCTATCCCTGAGGTACCCCCTAATGAGGGAGTATAAGTTGCTGGGGGTGTCGAACTGTTGTAGTACACAGGATCACCATACGTTATCAAAGGTGGAGGGTATGTTTATATTTCTTATTGGAGGTATGATATATTTCTCCACCTGTGTAACCTCATCTGGGCATCTCCGGTGCCGTGCTCCTTCGTGGATCCGTACTGCCTCGGGTGACTAGATGCCAGCAGGACTGGTGCTACGCTCTTCAGACCGAGGTGTTCCACGACTTTGCTCATTAAAGGGAGGAGGCATATGGGTCTATAGGACTTACCTAACTCCTTGTCCTTGCCTTCCCCCTTGTACAGCAGGCTCAGGTTGGCGATCGTTCAGTGTGTTGAAAAGTACCCCCCTATCCAAGCATTTATTCATTATGTCCAGGAATTATTCAATATAGGGAGCACTCCCCTTTGAGATTGCCTCGAGTCCCAGAGTTCTTCCCTAGACCAATCGCCATCCGCAGGTCCCATGGTGGAATGAACTCTGCCAGACAAATACTCCATAGTCTGCCTCAGGGCCTTATCCTATTCATTGTCCTGGGATGGGTCATCCCTGGGGTAGGCCTGTCTATTCCAAATTCTTTCGACTGTTTCCTTCAGGGTGACTGCTGGTCCACCATCTGCCGCCATTATTTTTCCGGGTTAAAGTTTATCCATCTCCATCCTGTATTCCCCAAGGATTCTTCTCACTTTCAGTTCTTCTGAACTCGTTCTAGGACACTCTCATCTGGTGTCGCACTTCGGCCTTATATCTCCTACACTTGTCTTGGCATTCCTCCTGGAGTTGTGTTTTCTTCCTTCCTACACCTGGCCCTGTGATACTCCTTCTTGAGTTCTGTCAGTTCTGGAGTCCACCATGGGACACTGTTTGCAAACAAATATCCTGCCTATCATTCATGCTACCTCTACCTTACTGTTACCTTGGTGCAGTCTTCCTGCCTAGGCAATATTACCCATAGAGAGTGTTGCCATTTTCTTGCCAAGATTTCTTATCATGCGCTCTTTCACACTGGTTTCATTCTGTTTATTTTGTGTTGATCAAAAAATAACACAATCTGAGCTACAGAATGTATGTATTTATAAGATTTGAGTGACGAGTAGTACAATTAAATGTACAGTTGTATAATAAGTAAAATGGAAGCTGGTCCATTGTTCGGCGGACAGGGGGTGAGAGAATTTTTAGATTTCTAATGTTTCCTACTAATAATAGTGATACTTGGCAAATGTTTCATGAGCATGTTAAAATCTGCTTGTTGGTTTTTAACTACCATAATAATCTTTAATGGAAAAATTAGAAAAAAAATATCAATAATGTATTTTCTTAAGCTTAATTCATGTTTCAATAATATAAAAAATATATGAAAATTGCGAAATTTTATAGTCTCATTTATTGCCAGTGTTGCAGAAATTTGCTATTAGTAATTTTACTTTTTTATCTTTTGCTTTGTAATACTTTAATTTATTTCATTGTTTATAATATGCCTATGATTACAGGGCAGCCGTTATCGAGTCCTAGCTGATTATACAGCTCTTAGCCACAGTGAGCTGAGCATGAAGGAGGGAGACCTTGTATCTCTTCTAAAGGTTGGGTGTGCAGGCTGGTGGTACGTCAGAGCATTTGGTAATTATTCATCATATACCTTTGATATGATGGTTATTTTCTTTATCATAAAAAAAACAAAATCATGTAAAATGATACAATGGTCATAATTTTTATGCGTACTTTAATAATTATTAAATTATTCTAAAATTTCATTATACTTAATTAATAAACTACACTAAGTTACAAAATATTTCAGTATACATGAAATATTCACAGAATTATTTTTTTTAATATTCACAGAATTCGTTTTCTTATTAGCAGTGATGGGTGCTTACCTGTTAAGATAATTATTAATTATAATTTGGTTGATGAATGGCTTATTATTTCCAAATAGTTATTTTATTCATGGCTGAATTTATTTTATTCTTGGTCAGTTACAAGAATTCATTGTTAACAAAATTTTTAAACATAAAATTAACAAAAGAATTTTTCTATTGGCCAGAAGTAAATAAATGAAAATTAGTATTTGATCGCAAATTTATGTGAATGTTTTGAGGAAAGCTTTGTCCCCCCTCTTCAGCAATATATTATTCACTCAAGAAATTGGGGTAGTCACAAATTTGAATACAGTAGGATTGATCAATGGTGCTTAGCTAAAAGTTTAAACTTTAAACCATACTATGGCCTCCAATGATAAAAAAACTTCCCCACCTAGTGATTAATTTTTTGTTACGGGAATTGAAACTGGATTTCCAAGACTTTTATAGGTTTTGCAAAACTTAGTATTTCAATTATAAAGCATTAAGTGGTCTATTGGGTTTTAACATGTTTATGTAATCCAGCTGCTGTGTAAGACAGAATAAATAACTACGGATTATCAATAGATTGTTGCTAGATTTCGGAGGTTGAGATTTATATGAGGGTATTTCAGGAGATAAAAGTCATTCTCAATACCCTCAGACGCTGATATCTCCAATTATAGGTTTTAATTATATTCCTATTTTATTTACTAGTCGTATTTATGTGAAAAATTTTGGAGATAGTTAATTGGAAACTAGAAGAAATAATAAATAATGACTACTTTTTTTGACCCTTAGTTCAAGATATATTCATAGAAAATAAATTTATAAATTTCCAGGTAACACTAGTTATGGACGGTCTGATGGCTGGGTTCCTGCTGCTTATCTTGAACTTGCAGCTCGGAAGTCATCACGTAGTTGTCACTCAGTGGCAAGTGATACATCTTCTCAAAATGATTAAATTTCATTCGATAGCAGGTATTTATAAATTATTTTGTTTAATGTGAGGAGTATAAAACTATTTATTTGCAGTTATCATTCATAGCTGGTTATTATTATTAATTTTTAATCTTAATTGAATTTATTTTATTTTTATCTTCATTCTTAACTTTTGTTTCAGATGTGGCCACGATTAATCTTTATTTTATTTAATATTTGAATTTACTATTTATTACTTTATTTTATTACTACAAATAGGGTGACCCATTTGTATTTCCAACATATTTATAATTTTAATGATTAACTGAGAAAAATGGTTGTTATGTCTCTATGAAAGTACTTATTTTTCTTGGTTTTCATTATAATTTGGTACTCTTTAAAACTTTAGTTCCTCCTATTTGAATTTATTATTGTAAACAAAGTTTGTTTGTTAAAGCAGAATTCGATGCTATTTTTTTTCTCATGGAAAAAAGACACCAAGACTCAAAGTAAGTCATTGAATTTTCTACCTCCTTTACTCAAAATCCTGTTGCTGGTATTATTATTAAGAGTATTAGAGTGAGGTGAAAAAAAAAATATCACTATTTTCCCTCTCCTTATTAGTTATTAATTTATCACACCTATTGGCATTTACTATCTTTAAAAAATTAATTATCTAAGAGAAATAAGAAAAAGTATTTAAGTAGATGATGTAGATTTTATATGATGATGTGAAAGCATTTATAAATTGTTTTAAGTTTAAGTTTTTTGTGAAGCACCTGTTTTTCTCTAACTGATAATCTTATTTGTTTTTAGAAAAGCTTAAATATGTATATAACATTGCAAGACAATTTTGTATGTTTCAAATATTTAACGAGTAATAATGTGTGTTGTATAATTATGGCAGGAAATATTTTTTAAAAATTTGTGATAGTGAAACACGAAAAGACTCGTGATAAGTAAAAGTAAATAAGGTTGTTTAATGGTCGATGATTTATGAACCAATGGGTGAAAATTGGTAAATTTTTCCTTGCCCTAAAACACATCTTTTTATTGTATTGGAATGAAATGCAAGTGATCATTGAAATATGGAAAAGACTGTACAAACATCTTTTATTTTAGCTAATAGGTTATTTTTTTACTCTTATTTTTTTCATGTATTTTGTGATAATCTTGCATGTTTGAAATTAGATTATGGAGAGTTACGCACTCATGTCAGTAGTACCCCTGTTTGTCATGGGTAAATTTTATTTTTTTTATTTAGTTGTCTTACTGATTTAAATGGTATTAGGGTTGTTTAAAACGATTATTTCACGAATGTGAAAATATTATTACCAGTTCATTGGTTTGGTCAAACATAATTATTAAAATGTCTTGATTAGTCTATAAGAAAATTGATCTCATGATTCACAGCTTATGTAGGATTCATTTTCATATTAACTTTATTTTGTGACTCGCTCATTTATTGTCTCTCTCTCATACTTTAGTCGTCGACTATGAAAGAATACTGTACTGGATGTTTCATATTTCTGAAGATGTACACTGATCTCAAAATTATTGAATATGAAAATATTTATTGAAAATCAAAAACATGACCACTCTTGATTATTTTTTCTGCCATCAAATCAACTAATAGTTAATGCATGTAGTGTATTTCAAGATATATAACAAAGATCCTCTGAATCAAAATTAGTAATACAGTTACGTTTTTAGTCTTAAATTCAAAATGCATTGAAGTAATGAAGTATGAATTGCTGAGGAATATTTTAATTTTCTTTCATTACAAGGTGTCTACCAGTTTGTAATTTCAGGAATAGGTTTAGATAGGAAAAAGTGAAGAATAAGTTAGAAATTCACAGTACATTTTTTAAAATTTGGGGGAAAGTTGTCATTAGTATTTGGGGAAAGTATTTGTTAGTAGTGAAATAATTTGTATTTTCATGTCTCATTGTGTTATCTTATTTATTATCACATTTGAAGGAAATTTCGAATATGATCTATTCTATGTTTGATCAATCATGTTTTGTATTGTAATTATGCTTAAGGTTAATCATACGAAGTGTTTTTTAATTGATTTAATCTTTTCCTTTTTAGCTGTATCATGCATGTATGATCTTTTTTGGTATTATTTGATCTCAAAATAATTGGATACTTGCTCCAATTTTCAATTTGTATTGATAAAGGATGATTAGGTCAGGACAGCAAAAAGCTCAGTATTTTTCTTAGATAGATAGATAGAAGAAAAACTTTATTCTGGGAGTCCCTTTAGAATAACAAAATTGTACAAAAGAATAGAGTAATACTGGCCTAAAAGTTTGAAACAATAAATAAAATTAATAAAATAAACTAAAAAGTAAAGAAAACCTTAGGTGAACAAGCTATATAAAATACTTCTTATGTATATTTGCCAAGATAATTTGAGTTAAAGAAAAGTAATGGGGACAGATCTACATCAGAATAATGGAAACAAGGCTACATTCTGGGCTGTCAGATTCTAGCTCATATCATTGAGTATCTTCTATGTTTTAGCTTAAAATGGTGTGCCCAGCTTACAAATTCCATCCAAGTAATATCTTTCCATTTTTTCTTTCTTCCTTGTTGTCTCTGAACAAAAATAATTAGTTAAACATCTCTTTTATTATATTTAATAAATGCTTGTTTATAAAATAGAGCTAATAGAGATTTGACAACAGTTGTACACTTCAGGCTGAAGTAGGCTCAGGCCATGTCCGTTTTTGCAATTTTTCAGCTAAATATGAACCTTTTTTTATTATTATGAAAGTGCGATCTCAATCTTACAATTGTTCGTTATCACTTGAATTCTATTTTAGCTCAAATCTATACAGTTCTTTCCATGCAAGTACTTTATTTACTTTTTATTTTGTAGGCATGTTTTCTCAAATATTCTCAGCTATATTTTCTGTATTCTTATTTTCTATTCCAGATTTTTAAATTATTTCATAATTTGCATCCCTTGTAACAAGGTCAATGTTGATTTAATTTGGCAATGCTAAGGATTGAAAAATTACTAATATTAAATTCTAATATTTTTTCCAATACTTAGAAAGATCAATAAAATGTATTAAAATTTATGTATCATAATTTCGATAGCTGCAGTTCATACATTTAAAGTAGATAAGTAGCAGAGGTTTCCAATATGCATTGATTTGTTAGATTAGTTTTCCTTGTACATTTGAAAAAATGTTGCTATTTTGGATTATTGGAAAAGTCAGGCATAAGTTAGGACTTTCAGTTATTGAAATTGGTAGACACCCATGCATTAGGACGAAACTCTTAATTCTCAAAATGGTTCTGATAAAGTTGGGTACCACTTTTTTCATTTCAAAGGTTTTATCTATTAAATTTCAAATCTGGATTACATGATGGCCAAGAATTGAAAAACAGTAGCTACTATTATTACCATTTTATTTTAGTACAGAAATAAATAATTACAATAAATGTTAAGTTAAAATTCCTTTAATATCAAATCAATACGGTTTATATTTTTTAAACTCTAGCGCATTACCTCTTTTTTGGAGTATCAGTGCAAATTTGGGTTTTAAATATAATATTATAAATTATTTATAAAGATTAAAAAATAAATTGTGAGTATTCTTTTAATACTATATTTTTTATTGACATAATTTGATTAATGACAGGTAATAATTTCGGCAAAGTGCATATCCATAATATTTATATTCTATAAACATTTTTTTATATTAAATATTTAAATTTGGAAATCATTGTTGTTACATAAAAAACATTCATAATAGCATTCATTATTTGGGATAAAATATTTGATAATCAATTTTAAGGTGGAATGTTATGTCTTTTCTTAGTATTGAATAATTACAAAATAAACCCATTTGAATTGGTATGTGTCTTGGGAGAATTGAAAGGCAGCATTGCATAATATTTTTATTCCAAAGATATGAATTTGTTAAAAAAAGTAATATCTAGTCAAACTCACTGCTAGTCAGTTATTCCGACCTTTACATTAATTTAATATTATCATTTAATAAGAAGTGAAAAGCTGTCTCTAAGAATTATGAAATCAAATATCTAGACCAATTTATATCAATCAATATAAAGTTCGTTGGTTTATTAATAGAAATGATTAATGAATAGTTTCTTTTCTTAAAAATATTCAAGCTCATGCATCAATAAGTATTACCTTTACCAATGTGTTACCTAGCAATCTTATTTATTTTCAGGATACACTTTTAAAGTAATAACTTCGGTGATTTCATTCTTGCAAAATCATCTGTTCTTTCTCATTCCCTCTCCTCAAGTTGTGTTTTTTTTTTTTTACTAAGCAGAGATAAAATCAGATTTACATTTATCAGTTCCGTTGTGTTTTATTTAAGTTAGTAGTTTTTTGCCTTATTGATTTCAATTAGAAAATTAATGTCATTAATATTGAATTGAGCTGTTTCTTAACTGAAATTTTGATGGAAAGAATTAAAGAACATTGAAGATTCCTAATAATCACTTTCCATTTGTCAGCTCCATGCTACTTTTATTTCCAGGTTTTTGTATTACCACACTTAGGCTATAATTTTTTCAATAGATTTTTTTCTAAATTATTGTCCAGCCTACATGATAATTTTGTAATGCTTAGATTCTTTCGTATGTGATTAAATTTAAGTTAAGCACCACCCCATCGTGTTATCTTATTGCCTATCAGTTGTATTCTATTTCCACAGGCCTTCATTATTTTGACATTTATTTTTAATCTGGTTATCAAGACTTCATTGTATTGTTTAAATAATTATTCTTGATAGACTCTTCATGAAAAGCTTTACATGTAATGAAATCATCAAGTTACCCTTTATTATTATAATTTAAATTATTAATTTATTTCCACTTTTCAATGATTTAAGTTGACTTTTTATAGTCTTAAGGGAAAGGGATGTTGAGTTTTAAAATATTATCCATTCCTTAAAAAATATCAAAATTTAACCATCCCTGTATGCATCCCCACCCCTGTAAACCAGGTCCCTGAACGTCAGCACCCCCTACTCCAACACCCGATTACCTATTCCCAATCCAATGGCCTCCATCCCTTCACCTAGAAGTCAGGATATTCTTTGACTAATGTAGCCCACATTACATCTGATTTTGTTACACGCATGCATCCCTCTACACCCCCCCAATTGCCTACCCTCCCCAAACCCAGAGCCCGCCCCCCCCAAGTAAATGACCACCCCTCCCCCCCATAAAAACAACCCACACACTGAACACTGCAGACCCACCCCCTACTAACCAACGTGACACCCTCAGACGCACTCACAGCCCCATAACAAAAAACCCCCCCCCACCAAATGTCTCCCCTACCCATCCCCACCCACACCCCAATTACCAAACAATATCCCCCACCTTCCACCGTATAACCTACCCACCCCCCCCCCCCCCCCCGTGCCCTAACCGCCAACCCCCAAAAAAAGAAAAAACAACAGAAACCAACACACCACGACACAGACAACCACCCCCTTTAACCGAGCTCGAAAAAGCTGCATCCGCAATACCACTGCCCATAACTTCGAACACAAGGCACACCAACATAAACCGTGACCACCAGTACGATCAACCACACCCCATGAGAGGCAATGTATGCTTCCGAATCCTCAAGAAGCTATTTAAAAAAATTGTAATTAGTCTAAAAATTTATAATTTGTCAATGTTCTCAGTTGCGTTGCTAATGTTAGATATATAATTTAACCCAAATATATGAAAAGAAAAGACATTGTTGATAATTTGTATATATTTATGTATAACACGTTTCTCCTCAAGTTTCTTTTTGTATTTATTTTATCAAAAGTGCTGTGAATGATAAGGGAATAGATAATTGTAGTTTCATATTATATTCTTGCATCATTTGAAAATTAAATACTATAATTTATTAAATTTATTTTTATAATTTATCCTATTATTAATAATTCATAAAAAGTATATGTATATAGATTTGTGTCCAATGTACGTTGTATCCTAATATTATTTTTACGGATGTAGGTTTGCTTAATACAATTAATGAAGTTATGAATTAGATTTGTAATATGTTTGTTTTCTAACTGTAAGTTAATCAGAACAATTTTACTATTTAGTTGTTATAAAAGTAGCTTTTCTGTACATTTTTTCTAATAAACAAACCTACTTAAATTTGATTTTTCAATTGAAAATAGTTGAGCCAAAGCACTATATTTATTTATTAGGTTTAAAATTTTAAATGTGTCTATGCTTCAGATAAATTTATATAACAATTTTTGCAAATTCTTAAATTAGCAGATTAACAACAAAGATTAAAATATTCTGTGAAACACTGGATCTCAATTTAATAAAATATGAACACCCTAAAGGAGAACTAAATAATATAGGCTTTATTTAAACAATATGTTTTTGTTATCTGCTCATAAAAATAAGTTCATACATTTTGTTATGAATTTTGGATGATTTAATAAAAAGTTAGGTTTATTAATTTTGAATAAAAAAAAAATGATTTTTTAAAGATAATGTTACTGTTTTCATTTTTAATTTAAATAAAAAATATTGTATTTATTCATAAACCTTTGCATTAATTATCAAGTGCATGTAAATTGAAATAAAAGTTATAAACATTTAGAAGTAATTTTTTGTCATGATATATTTCAGACATAATTAAATAAGTTAAGGAAGTGTATACAAAATATATCATGACATGTTTAATACAATAAAGTTTACACTTATATTTTTAGTAAACAACAAAAAGAAGGATGAAAAAAATAATATATATAATTTTCTAGTTCAGTTGTATTATTATAGCTGGAATTTCGGATTGAAAAAAACAATTAAAAAACTGTTAGTTTGAAAAACCAAGCAACTTTATGCTACACTGTATGACCAAAACTATCATTGTGCATATAGTGCCTACTGATCTCAGTTTTGTTATCATAAAACTTATTATTTGAAATTTCAGTTTTCTGGTTTAATATTTAACTTATCTAGTCATTTATTTATTTGATCATTTAGTTATTTGATTTGATAACTGTAGTATTTCAATTCATGAAACATAAAAGTAGGATCTATTAAAAATAATTAATTTCCCAGAAATGGTCATTAATTATTATTTATTTGGTTATAATTTAGTTATTGAATATAATTCACCATTACATCAATTTTAAGTATTATTAAAATTCCTTTAATTTTGAATTGTCTTCAAATAAATATAACCAAAGTCAAATTTACATATGTACTGTGAACAGCTGGTAATTACATCAGTTGAGTGATTCTAAAATACAAACAATATGAACTAAATGAATGTAGAACATTTTGCTCATTAGTCTTCCTTACATTAAAATTGTAAACAAAGATTCATGCCATTCTATATATGTATTATAATAAAGAATTAAAGTTTAAAGTAGTTTCTTATGGAAAATGTCATATAAAAACATTTTATCAGTATTGTATCGGGCATTTTTTATAGAAAGAAATATGTAAACCATGACCTAAATTTATACCTTGGTGTATGTCTTTCGATGAATGTGTAACCACTTTTAATGTTGTGCTTGAGAAACAAAAATGATCAGAAATTACATAAAAATGTACATAATTCCATATTGATTAAGCTAACTTAGTTGTTTGTACGTTCACTGTATTATAAAATGCACCCGAATTGCTAAAGCTAATCTTAGGTTTTATTGGTATAATCTTTTATATTTTGTACATTATTGTATTTGGATTTATACAAATAAAACATAAATAGACTTATGTATTTCATTGTTTCCTCGTGCCACCGGAACAATTCCCTGAGTGGTTATTTCTATTTTTGTTTTGGCTTTGAAGATGTAAACAAACAAGATGCCTGCTGAGCCAGTGGTTTAGTTTAATTACATCAGGATATAAAGTTTTTTTTTATATTAGCATTATTACAGTTGAGTTTACTATTAGCAATTAAATTCTAGTTTGTTATTTGATGTGAATAATTTTTAGAACAAGTCTAAAGCAACAAGTGTGGACCTATTTTTTTTTTTTTTTTTTTTTTTTTTTTTAATGTGAATAGTAGTAACACATTGTTTGCATGTTTATTTATTTAGTAACAACATTATTTTTTGTTTGAGTTTGAAATTCTTAGGCATCCTTGCTAGTTTTGGAAGCTTATCTAAATGCGACCATTGTAGTGCTCACACCGAATGACGTAATGGAATGATGCAGTGGAGGAACTGGAGTGCTTTGATCACGATGATATCAAGTCCTATTTCATAATCTCTCCTCAACATCATAACATTTTTTAAAGGATTGATTTATTCATGTTCCTAATCATTTTCAGAGCATTTAGACTTACAATTTAATGGATTAATAACAAACATTGTTTTGGAATATTTTATTAACAGTCAAAAGGGTTAAATTAGCAATTTTGTCATTCGCAAAATCTAATAGACAATTCTGGTTTCACTTTATTTAAAGAAAATTGGGAACAAAAATTGGCAATTTGTATTTTATGACTGCAGTCTGCAAATACTGTATATTTCAATGTACAGATTAATATAGCTTTTAAGAATTAATTGGGTATAAATATTGCTTCCACAGTAGCAAGAAGCACTACAATAGAATTTTGTTTTTACTATTAATTATGTTAAATATAAATATTTATTCCAGGGAAATAAACATTTTATTGAATTTATAATGTATTATATTATGATATGCTTAAAATCTCTATTATTTAATTTTTTTTTTATTTGAAGACACTATTTTAATAATTAAAAGGAAACAAAAAGTTTCAGTTGATAATAATTTCTAATATCCTGAGGAATATTTTCAGGATGTTTTGTGGCATTTTGAATTTTATCAATTATGAATATATTATCAAGATTTAGCTCTTTTTAATGCCGTTTGTATTCTCTAGGTAGAGAAAGCTAATTATATTTTTTCTATGGAGTGCAGATGCCTTTAGAAAAGAATCTTAAAGAGAGTATTAATAGATTATTTAAAGGTTAACTACTTGACAACAGGATAAGCATTGTGTACTTTTCAGAGTATTTTAATAAGTTTGTATAAATATTATGAGTAACAGTATGTATTTAATTATTATTTTTATGTGTTGCAAATTTTTCATAATATTTTATGAAACTTAAAATTCAATTTCATGAGCTTTCTCTCCAATTTGAAAACATTGAATAATATTTACAGTATAATTAGTGTATACATGTTATATAAGATTCATAAATTACAGGTTATATTATTATGAAGTAGAATGTGAACGAATTATTAGAAGGGAATAAAAGGCTTATTGATACAACTTATTTAAAGTTGTTTCTATGGATCTGTTGTATATATACATATTCATGACCTTTGATTGGCGAGATTCCAAAATCAAATCTTAAAATATCTTATCTGTTGGAAACGCACATTACCAGGAAACAAAGTTCTTACGTAATTTATTAATATTTATTGTTAAGCTTAAAATATGTTCCAGTAATAGTATCACATTTTTATCTTTCCTGAATAATAATGATTCCTTAGTGGTTGAAAACATAAATAACTGCAAGCTGAAGTTTTTGACTGTTAAATGAGAAAAAAAAGATGACAGTTCACTCAAAGAATTATTGTTTAAATAAATAATTAGACACAAAATATTTGTAAAATAATATCATTATTTCATTTAGAATTTTATTGAATAACTAATTTAATTTTTCAAATTTTAGACAATGCTAATAAACAATCTTACCTCTTTTAATAGCGGTTTGTTGATTATATTGTAGTGTTAAATTTACAATCTATATATTTAGTTTAAAAAAATAAACAAGAAAAATTTAATGTTTGTCAACACTAAATAGATTGACTGTTGATGTTAAAAATGTTGAAGGTGCTTCCTCAACTATTTCTTTCTGAAGATAGCGACAAGAAATCTTTTAGGTAATAATTTTGAAAAGAAAAAAAAATAAATATATTTTGAGATGATTTTCTATGATAATTTAATAATTGTAGAA